AAGATTTTATAAGATAATGCTTGTGCACCGGGGTGACTTCCGCAAATCCCTTCGTGTACTACTTCAAGAATATATTGTGACTCAGTTTCACTTACGCATTTTAAAAGTGGGACGGAGTATCCCCTTTTAAACAAAGTTCCGTTGTCCAAAGTGTACCGAGCTGCTCGGATCCGAAGTGCACGAGCTTCTTTTGGGTCTGGGGGCAAGGCCCCAGTTTCTAAATAATGTATAATAGGATCCATCCAAGTCGGTGGCTTTTGTGGCATCACCGGATCGATAGTCGCGACCTCGAAAAGTGCAGTCGACGGTTGCTCTTGCTGGCCGATTTGGACATACTCCGCGCTCTCCATCCCGGTACTGGATGCCAGCCGAGATAAGGCATCTGCTTGAACATTAAGAGTTCGGGGGATATGTTCGAGATCGGCGGAGAATTTTGATAATTTCCGTTTGGCCAAAGAGAGATAAGGTGTCAACCGAGGTTCTTTGACTTCATATGAACCATTGACTTGGTTGACAAGGAGTTGAGAGTCCGAGAAGATTTTAAGGTGCCTCACGTTCATGGATTCCGCCAAATTCAATCCGGATAGCAAGGCTTCGTATTCGGCTTCATTGTTGGTTGCCGGGAAGAGAAACTTTACCGAGTGACAGAATAACCGGTTTTCCGGGTCAGCTAAAACTATAACTGCGCCTGCTCGGTTAGCTGTTGAGGATCCATCAATATAGAGGGCCCATGGTTGATTATCACGATGAACTGTTATGGCCGGAGTGAACTCGGCGATGAAGTCAGATAAGGCTTGAGCCTTGATCGCGGTCCTCGGTTGATAATGGATGTCGAATTGTCCGAGCTCAATGGCCCATTTGACCATGCGTCCCGAGGTATCAGGTCGGTGCAGGATTTGCCGAAGTGGATACGAAGTGCGAACAGTTATGGAATGTTATTGAAAATAAGGTCATAATTTTCGTGCAGCAATGACAAGCGCAAATGTTAACTTTTCCATCGGAGGATAACGTAATTCGGCATCATGCAAGGCTTTGCTGACATAATAGATAGGCGATTGCAACAGTCCTTCTTCACGTATCAGAACAGCGCTAATGGCAGAATCACTGACCCCGAGATATAAGAACAACATTTCCTCGAGTTTTGGTTTTTGTAAAGTCGGCGGAGAGGCAAGCGTCTCCTTGATGCTAACGAGAGCTTTCTGGCATTCCTCGGTCCATTCAAAACGTTGGGCCTTTTTTGATTGCTTCGAAAAAGGGTCTGCGACGATTTGTAGACTTGGAGATGCACCGGTTGAGTGCAGCAAGTCGGCCGGTTAGGGCCTGAACACCCTTAACCGAGGTC